GAGATGTTAAAAACTATTTGAATTTTATAAATTGTAGTTTGTCAAACAGAGGATCGCAAATTAGCTTCATCAATTAATATAGAATTAGAACAGGTAGATTATATAAATAAATCTTACTTTCTCCATGGTGGACTTTTACTGATCCGAGTAATATATGTTAAGCATGACTTATAGTTTCTTTGAATAAATATTTCCAAGTGGCAGTACATGGTTAATGAAGGACTTAATTTCTGGGTGAAATTAGATTACAAAACTCTAACTGCAAAACTCTCTTAAGTATTTGAACTATACATGGTTTTAAATATACACGGGTTTTAAAAATGATTTTACTGCAATAGAATAGCCAGTGGGTGAAACTTGGAGTAAACTGCCAGAGAGTAATTAAAATTAAATTAAATAAAGCAATTAAAAAGTGACCTGAGTTAAGTTGATTTGATGAGGTAATGATGTTCACATTAAATATGTTCTGAGGACGACAGGTTCTTCTCAGCAATGAAAAAAGTTAAACATGGATAGTACACAGGAAAATATTAATTTAAGAACTACCAGAATGAGGAAATTGTGGACTCTGATTAGAAGTACCAATTGAGAGATATGGTTGAATATAGTAAAATAGCAACGTTAGAAAAGTTCTGGGTAATTACATTAAATTTACAATGGCTGGATATGATAAAATAAATTCTATGAGACTATTTGAGATGAAGGGGGTGACGTAGGGAAACAAATAAAATGAAACATATTGATAGAACAATTTCTTGCAAATTATCATACAAAGGTTATTCTGAGGAGTAAGTGTATGAACAGTTGTTTATTTTGATTTGGACAGAGTCAGTGTGCTGCACAGTCAAAATGGGTTAAAGTTTGGTGAAGAAGTTATCATGGTTTTTGTGATTTGGACCAAGGTTGTGAACTGATGCATGGAAGTTTATTAAGTCTGCTGATGAATTGTTGTAACTGAATTGTTGATTATCATGTGTTCTTTGTCTTAGCCTAAACAAAACGGAGTGAAGTGCTGCATTATGAAGTACAAGGTGACACATCCAAGGGTGTAATCATGAAGGGAGGTACATTTGAACCTGATTGGTGTCAGAGGTCAGAAAATAGAGCTTAAAAGAAGAAAGTGAGCTGAATTATGTTTGTTTTTTGAAAAAATTGGAGTCAGAGGTCTGAAAATGAAATTTTGAAGAAGAACTTTAGTTGAATCGTGTGTATTTCTATGTTTATAAACATTTTGGTTTGGATTCGMTTGGMTAGTTTGTAAAGTGAAAACAGGGCCTTAACAGGATGGGGTGTAATTCATATTTGTGTGTGAAAATGTTATTTGTATAGGTGGATGTGGATGTTATTAGTGTATGGAACCCATAATGGTTGAATGGACGAATGAACACTAATACCCAGATAATGACATTAATATTTCAAAATAAATTTGATGGCGAGTAATTGGATTTGCTGCAGCACAAATTCATAACACCGAAGCGACTGAAAAAGTTTAATAAACATTTTTATCAAGGTGTACAGGGGGGATAATTGATGGGATTAAAAGTGGTATCATTGGTTTAAAGGTCGTCATAATAAATGATAACTTCTTGTTTTACAGGAAATAAGTGATGTGGCTCAATCACTGGAACTCACCTTTACAAATAAGGGGGAGAAGAATGTGTAAKTGAAATGAGGGGGAAATGGAGATGTCACATCTCCCAGAATACACCTGGAACAATTAAGGTTTTTAAGATGTGTTGAAGTAAAATAAAAAATTTTTTTAAAGGCTTAAAAGATCAATTAAAATGTCATATAGCAGGTGGACACATCACTTAAAAATGGTGAAAGAGGTGGTGAGTCTGTGTCATCGTTGCTCTGTGAATATATCATTCAGAGCAAGGTTTTCACAGGTCYTGACAAGCCAGGTTGGGTGAAACTCTTAGGGCAAAGACATTGAAAAGAAAAAAAACTGCTTCCAGTGCGAAAACGTATTATACTGTATTTTACTGTTTAACTATAACTTTTTGATTGTATCAAAACATAACAAATCCCACAGGTCTCAAGCTGGAAGTAATTAAATTTTGATTTACAGGTYGAAATTTACAAGGTTTCGCTGAGGTGGTGAAAACTAATATTTAATTTTCAGGACAATACAGCAGATGATGATGTCAATATAATGTGAATAACTGTGATGTGWATTACTGTCTGCGCATGCGTAACCATTTCCCTTTTCAGGATTTATGATATAGTTTGGAAACAGCTTTATTAAAGGTTTCAAGTGACTTGTTGATGGCAGATCATTTAAGGAACATTTCAAAGRTGGGATGTTTTGTGTCACAGAAAGAATTAGAGATGGTTGTTCTGTTTTATTCTTTTTAATGATTTTTAATTATATTTTTTGCTTTCTGTGGGGCGCTTTGTGATGTTTGTGTCTGTGAAGGGGGCTATAGAAATGAAATTTAATTACTTACTTACTTAGTTACACGTGTTAGGCCTGAAGGTGGCAGCAGAGAGATACATTGTGGTTAATTGAAATGATGATGTGTGGCTGTTGAATTGTTATTGTTGTGATGATTATAAGATGTTTAGATGAATGTCTGGGAGGTGTCACATTGAAACGGTAGATTCTTTGGTTAATTTAGACCACTAAGGGGGTCTGTGGAGATGGTCTAGCAGTTTTTCCTAAGTGGTTGGTAAAAATGGTGAGTATGGGATTATAAAATAGCTTTATTGCTGACACGAACATTGTCACTACTGGGTCAGTTACAAAGGCTGTTAAAAGTCTTAGGAAATTGTCTYTGAAGATGGTTTATTGGTCTACTGTGGTAAGGCAATTAGTCATGGTGGTGATAATACTGGGTTTTTGTTGTTTTTGTGGCATTCCTGTGGCTACGATGTTATGTGTAAAGGCCATCTCACAGACTGTACAGAATACCTTTAATCAATATCGAATATCAAATGGTACAGACATCTGACGCCAGCCCAACGCCTCAACTTGCATATCTCTACGGTGAAGATGATTAATGTGTGAAATCTCCAAGAAGGCCCTGGTAATGATGATTCTAGCTGACATATTTGAATAGAACGTTAATACTGACATAGTTACAATCACTTAGTCGGACATGAAAATATAGTTTAGTGTGTTGAGATGAGATGTCATTGATAAAATGTTTTCTGATTTCCATTTGTTTTTCATTATTAAGTCTGTTTAGGGAAGTCACACTAAGCAGGTATGATTTGTTATGCTAAAAAATTATTAATGAACTGGTTGTTTTTTATTTTATTTTTTTTATTTTATTTATTTATTTTTTGATATTTTCATATTGTAATAAGTTGCAGGTTATCAACCAGGTCAGTTTGACGCTGAGGACGAGATGGAACAGTGCTGAAGACGTGTTTCCAACGGAGAGCTATGTGCTAGAAACCTCTGGCTCCGATTATGATTATTATCATAATAATAACTGACCTGGTTGACATTTTGACATTTTTATATATTTTTTATATTTTTACATTTTGAGTGGGGTGGGATAAATGAATGATATTARWWWTTTCAGGGCTGGGATGTTAGAAATTTTCCACGTTGTGCTGTATCGCTTAGAGTAAGTTACATACACATTTGTGCCTTAGTGCAAACATATAGATTACAAATTTCTTATTTTATTTCACATGTTTGAACATGTGAAAAGGGGGATTGAAGAAATTTATAGTTAGGGCTTAGTACTGATTACATACAACACAGAGTATTAGGGTTTTCTATTTTATAATACCTTTATAATGTTTGTTATATTTCTTACAATGTGAAATAGGGTCGATACATGTCCGAATTATTAACAACACATATTAAAAGCTGTGTTAACATTAGATTGAGATTTGTTTGTATGAATGCCTGTGATTCAGCTGTAGGCCAGCAGGGGGCGAACTCGGGCATTGAAGCTACTGGACTGTATATAAAAAGTGACTTCCTGTTTATAAGGCAGTGTGGTTTCGGCTGTCATTCTGGTGGCAATAAACCTCACTCCGGAATTCTGGTGTTGTATGGCTTTTATTTCTTAACACAGATCATTATTTAACACTGATGTTTTTATCTGACTTCAGCCGTGAAGTTTTTCTTACAGTTTTACAAAAGTCGCTCAAATGCGAATACTCATTTTCAGTGGTAAATTGACAAGCATAGGATTTTTCACAGTAGGACACACTGGGAAATACCAAAAATAAATTGTGCCTAAAGAAAGGAACATCTCTGTGTAACTACAAGTCTGCCAGACACAATAACTGTGACAGTGACAGTGCAGTGTTTGTAGCACAAAATAATACAATAAAGTATCAAATTTGAAAATACATTTTTGGTAGAATTTAACTGAGCAAGATGATGTGAAGTCTTTGTTGTATAACGCAACCAAATGTCTCTCTTTACAGAGAGAGCTAGTTAAATTTAGTTTTGAAAAAATACAGTCCAAATAAATTCAATTGCTGCCTATTTTAGTTAGTTTCGTTTTAAATACAGATTCAAGATCAAAACATTTATAATCCAATAATATTAATACTAAAACTTATATATTTAATTTAAAACAACCCCTCTTGAATTCTAGGGTGACTTTATCTTAGTGTTCTGTGAGTCCTATTGTTTGACTTTAATCTTTGGTTTTGTTTTGAAGCAGCACATCACGCTCTGTAGTTTCCCTCATGCCTGCATACAGACCCCACTGACCTAACTGACGTATTTCCCTCTTTATAATCTAGGTTTGTTAAAATAGGTTCAAAATTAAACTATAATTCTATAATAATAATAATAATTTGGTGTCTTGCCTCCCAATTATTAAACATTTGAGCAAACTGCAACACATCCCAAATTACTAAAAAAAGATCAGTCTTACCTAATTATCCTTTGATATTGTTTTTCCCAAAGTACCACATGATCAAAGGGGATGCTAAAGGGATTTGTGAGAAAAAGGATGAGGTTACAATGTTGTTCTGCCACACAGCTGAGTTCGACCTCTGAGCTGCCACTTCCAGGCATTCTCGTTGGTCATCAGCCAAGCCACGAGGGAAATGCAGCCAAAACCCAGCTCACACGTACTTTGCATTAGGGAAAAGACCCAATCCGTATTCCCTGCGTGTCCTGCTGCAGACCCCAAACAGCATATGGTCCTGAATATGCAGTGATGAGCAATGACGCCTCAATAGGATCCTAAATTCTGTCATACATTCTTCTAAAAGTTGGCACTGTGTGCAAGCCACTGAAATTTCAAAGCGGAAAGTTGTAATAAATCTGATGAGACACTGTCGGTCGGTCCTTGAACTCTGCGTGAATAATAGCTGCGTTCAATCATCATCACACAGGGCAAAGTATGAGAGGCTGTAATAAGTGTGTTGGGTTTGAATCCGTGGGGCCAGAGAACAGATGCATCATTTAACTGTTGACAAAGACATTGATAAAGGCAGGAGACAAGACTCGTTGTGCAATACTTGTGACCCGGTGATAAAAATCAGACCCCTATCGAGACTGTGGGGCATTCAGATAATCACAAAAGGAGGAGCACCGCACGGCAATGTGCTTCTAAGAAAGACACCAATGCAGAGAGGCGAGCGAGATAAGCTGCTACACAGAGGGCTGTAATAAAGACACAGAAGGGGTAATGCACACGGAACAGAAAAATGACAGTACTTGATTTCAAACAGAGCTCTGCTTGTTTTTCTCGTGTGCCAATTGATACCTGGACCAGCGATTCTTGCTTTTGCTGCCAAAGTATCCACCGCTTCTGAGCTGTCACCCTGATGAGATGCCGGCAGTCACGTTCCATGATAATGATCAACTCCTCCATGTCACAGATGAGAAGTAACAAAAATGTATGAATCAAGCAGTTCTCACCGAGAGTCTCACTGAACGCTGGCTGGAAGTCGACAGTCCAACAAAAAGACATGTTCTCTATTGCTCACTGTTTGTCTGCTTGACTTTGAAAGTTCTCAGTTGTCCATATCATAAAGTTCTCCATCGTGTCAAATAGATTTCTTTAATGGTTTCATCTGTTCTTTGTAGTCTTTTTGTTTTTTTCTGAGGATGGCTTTTTGTTGGTCTCAGGATCTGAAAGAAGCACAGTCATTATTAATGTGGTAAATGTAAAAACTAAAAATAACAGGTCAAACATCCAGCATCATGATTTTGTACCATTCACTTCTACCTTTTTCTAAACTGATGATCACTGAGCCCCAGCAGTTGTTATGCCTTTCCAGCTTTGAATTTTACCTCTAAAGGCATACAATTCTAAAAAAAAAAAAGTATACAAAACTTTACAGGACCAAATCCCATTTTCTATTTTGGTCAACGGAAGTGAGAAAATTAGAAGTCAAAAATGAGAGCAAAAACAGTTCCTTGTAGGGAACCTTATGTTGTGTTTACACTAGTTTATAAAGTACTGTAATTCTAAATATGCACTTGAATTATTTATTCACAGCATTTATTAAAGAGATAGCAAGCAAGGCTCTGACTATATATTTTTAGACAGATAAAGAATTTTGTGGCTAAAAATATCTCTTCAAGCCACAAAAAACACTGACGTGTATACATGCCGTGCCACAAGGTGGCGATAATTCCTAAAAATACCCATAGATCAAGTCTACGTAGAGGCAAATTTTTTATAAATATATATATTTCATATAGAAAGAATTTGTGCAACAATAGTTTTTTTTATTCCTCACCAAATAAAAAGTGCATGTCGAAGAAGGTTGCTAACACTTCCGAAAATTCCAATTTTGTCAAGTAATGTTGTTAGCGTGGACAGAGCCTAATGCTAAATACACTAGTTGATGGACTGCAAAATCCAAAAGTACAATCTGCTCTTCATCAGCCTAAAAGCAAAACTTGCAACAAAATTATGGAAACCCCTCAGTATTATTCTGACTATGATGAAAAGTGCTGAGAAACCCAAAGATTGGCATATCTTTGTTTAAAAGAATGAAAGTACTAGGTGAATAAAAATTTGACAGAGATACTGTAACATTTTTTTTGTGAATATGAGGGATAAAAGTAAAATCTATCGGACATACGACCTCACCTGTCCTGAGATCGAAGGTTCGTTATTGCAGAAGGCGATAGAGGGTTGGTCCTAGACATTGCTGCGCAGTAGCCCCCCTTGTGGGTGCTCAGGGGTACTGCACTCTGAGGAGTTCTTGGCTTTGTCCTTGTTGTTGTTGGGCTCATTGTCTTTGATGATGTCATACTGACGACAAAACAAAGCGATCACCCCTGAGAAATGACAGAGCATTAACAAAAAAAAAACAACATACAGGTGTGACTAAATGCTGGTAAAATAAGTCACATTGAGAATTTCTTCAGTATTAAGATTATTTTAATTTTAAATTCTCCATCTCTACAGCTTGAAACCTATATACATACATGTACATTATTTGTTAAAATTCAGTGATTTATCACCTGGTCAGCAACATGCTAGTTTTGGGAACCCTAAGTTTCACAATCACATCAAGTGTGATACGAAGAGGTTTCCCAGTGATACAGCAGCCAGCAGGAAAAAGAATTAGATATAAAATTGCAATTTCTGAAAACATAATTTTTCGAAAGTTTAATGAATTATGAAATTACTTAAAAAAGTTCAATACAAATATACATTATGTACAATTTAGCAGTCATTCTACTTAATTGCATATCACTTGGATCACGAGCATGTTATTTCTGTTTTATTAAATACACAGTATCTATTTTGTTATCTTGGACAGTTTATTATTATTATTATTATTATTATTATTATTATTATTATTATTATTATTATTATTTTCAGTGCACCTCTCTCTGCTATCATTTCTGGTTTTCTGTCAATCCCCTCTGAAGTACAAAATGATTACCAGGTAAATCCAAACTCTCATTGACTCCCAGGTCAGAATATTCTTTAAACCTGGAATTATTTATTAATTAATTATAAATTGTGAATTTGTTTTGTTTTTTATATGAAATGAATAAAAAATTAAGCCATTTAACTAGCCATACCTGTTACATAAAAATATAAAAACATGAAAACTCATATTAGAGTAAATACTAGGTTTACTTTAAAGTCTGAATTTCTTTCTGCCTGTCTTATTAGGAGAGCTGTTAGTGAAAGACACATGAGTGCTTACTATGGTGACCCTAATGAATTACTGGCAGCAGTTTTCAAGATTAGTTTTAAGTCTTGGGTCCCTTTTCACGTTTTATGTGGTTTGTGTCAAAACATTCACATTTTATCAGACTATTATTTTAAGTACCAAATTCTTACTTTTTGAAGAAAATTGATTTGTATTAGAATTTCAAGCAAGTGCATTGGTGCCCTTCAAAATTCTCCAGTTAAATGTCATCTCACTGTCCTGTTGATAAACTCTGCAAGCTTTTAAGTGGAAAATATATTAGGCACTATCGAGAGTAATGAAACTGTAAAACATGTCGGGACAAATCCATGATGAACTCAGTAAACATCAGCAGCTCATCATCCTGGCACACCAGAGACTTAATCATTTCCAAACATAAGGACAGTGAGTAGTTTTGGTTTATCTAATCTTTTCTTTTTATCATACAACCGCGAATCAGGAAAAAGCTGGAAGCGTTACTAAGAACTGACAGGTGTTAAATCTAAAGGACGGAATGGGAGCTACAGTTCGATTCTAATACTGACCTCAGGCCTCCGGTTTGCCTGGGTGGATTTGAGACAGAAACAGAGTTCTTATCGATATCAGCTGAAAGATATCCACTCCTGTCAATAAAGCAGGTACTACTGAGCCGAGATGGAAACACGAAGAATGCTGAATGAGTAGATGGAGATGGGGTGCGCGCGTGGTTTCTGCCTTGAGTTGGAGATATTAAAAGCAGCTCAGGAGTTGTAGATGTGAGCGCAGATAGAGAGCGAGCGTGGAGAAATGAGAAAAGGGAATAATTCATGACGGTGAAGGAGCGGGCGACGGGCTGAATCCAGGCCCAAACAGGATTCAGTTTTTCTGCTTATGTCAGCCTCTGCTTTTTTGATCATTTCAATACCAAAGTGCAAGATGGGTATGTCCCCCAGCCTGCCCCACAGGCCCAATTAAAATCTGGAATACACAATTCACCTTCTTCACTTCAGTTTTTTCTTTTTCAACATCCTGCTCAGCTCAATATTTCCCACCACCTTGTTTCCTGCTTCCTCTTTAACTCTCTTTGAATCTCCCTAGGTGTCTCAGTCGTCTTACCGGTAATTGGCACAGGAGAGCCACTTCAAGCCTTTCATTGCATTGTATACTACAGACAGCATTATAGCCACACATGTATCTCATCACACTCAGGGGGAAAGAAATATGCACCAGCAAGTCGAGACACACTAAAGGATGTCCTGCACCTCACATCTAAAATACCACGCTGACCTTTTACCAACAGATGGAACGACTGCGGTGCGATGATGAATAGGCAACCTCGTAATTTGTGCGCTCTTTATGCGATGTGTGAACATGGAGGAGTTCTCTTTTGTACAGCTCAAAGCACTGAGGAGTTAAAGTCCATTAGCACCAAGCTGAAAGTCCATTTAGACTGAAGCTTTTATTTCTCTACGACACAAATCTGAGCGTCTGACTGGGATGTTCATCGATTTGATCCAAACAAAAGTGTTTAACAACCTATTTAACAGTTTCAGAAAGAAAAAAATGTTTCTAATTCATTCAACCAAGCCAAAGTTCTGTGTTTTTGTGAAAAATGTTAGTATCTACTTTAAAAATGGAACTAATCTTGGCAGAAACTTTATGTATAATGGGTGTATGATGTAAGTGATGGTAAGATGGAGAAGGAGTTGATCGGGACGTTGCTGTCATAAAATCAGTGTGACTGTTGTGGCATTGGTCTGTCATGGTGATGAAGGAGCTGAGCCAAATTGCAAAGCTCTGGATTTACAAGTCTGTCTGTGTCCCAGCTCGCACATGAGGCGTGGATCATGATTGAAAGAATGAAATTGTGGATACAGGAGACTGAAATGAGTTTCCCTTATAGGTTGTCTGGGTTCAACCTTAGAGATAAGGTGAGGAGTTCTGTCATTCAAGGGGAGCTCGGAAAAGGTATATCAAGCATCTCATTACCTCCACTGTGAAGTTTTCTGGGCACTGGGAGCAGACCATGGAAGAAACCCAGAACTCACTCAAGAGAGTATACAGTATACTGGTGCTGGTCATAAAATTAGAATATTATGAAAAAGTTGATTTATTTCAGTAATTCCATTCAAATAGGGAAACTTGTACAGCGGGTAAAATAAGTATTAAATAAGTATATATA